TATGTATATTATATATATATCATATATATATGGTTCTATATCTATATATATGTATATCTATATATATATACATATACATATACCATGTATAAATACATGCACATACCATAATGTTCCATGCTACAGCATATAAGCTACACCAAGAGTCATGCCAGGTTTTTGGGGGCCTCCTCCACCGTCCCGACGACCAGAGCTCCAGCGTTGCCCTGACTGATAGGTTCATGACTCATGTCATGCTGACATACCAGGAGAACAAGAAGATTTGGATCCTTGTTCTCGTCACGGAAAACCACTGCGATTTTGTTGCCATCAAAGGCGGTGACCTGAATACAGCTTCTCGTCACCAGGGAACGGCAAGCATGCAATCGACTCTGTCTGGCCATGTCTGCCAGAAATCTGCCCCTAAGCCTGTCCAGGACTCCAGCGTGGATGTCGCTGGCATGGACTGCATTCTCACCCAACAGAAGATGGGGTGCAAACGCTGCAGGCGGTTTGCAGTCCTGGCAGAGTTCCCATCAAGCTTGGGAGATCCTAAAGATCCAGGATTGTCCTTGCCCTGGCCGATGTACCCTTCATCACACACACAGCTGGCGCCTGATAAACACCGCAGGCAGAAAAAACGTGCATCAGCGGCTCAGGCGAGGAGGCGCACCACTCAGGGTCTCTGCACAGGATGCGTGGAGTCCGCAGATGAGCTGATCGCAGTTGCCTTGAGCTGCAAGGACCATGCCGCGAGAATTTGAACACGACAAACACTTGGCTAGGCTGTGCTGGGCTAGGGTTAGCTGAAGGCAGACTTCGAGGTGAGAAGGTCTTGCGTGAGAGCCGCTCACAATGAGGTGATCGCTTGAAAAGATTGCCGGCCTGACGAGGTCTTCTTGAGGAGGGAGAGCATGCTGTCAGAGAAGGTGACCTTCGGGTACTGGTGCCTGCCCTTCTTCTGGAAATTGCACAGTCTTACACCGTCACCAACAACTCGAAGCCGTGATTTGTGCTCCCGGCAATGTTGCTGTAGATGCTCTTGGTCTCGTCTAATGCTTCTTTGTTCGAGGTGACCTTGCGAAGGTGCACATCAGCTCTGGTTCCGGACAACTCTGCAAGAAAAGGATGCACGACATGAAACTCTGGGAGTACCAGCGCTCTGCTGCAAGGCTGTCTTGACTTTCGGATCTTTCGCTTGTGCGACAGCCTCCTGGCCAACTTGAACGGAAGCCGATACTCGTACAGATGCTCGAACAAGATCTTCGAAGTCAGCCTACATTACGACAGTGCAGTTCACCGAAAATCTGTCCTGAAGGCGATGTTCCTCGTTTGCATGGCGCTCTTCGACACTTTGCTGCGCAGTGAGCGCAAAGCTTCTGAACCTCGGGCCGGCATCTCTGAAAGGTTGAACTTCCCGTCTGGAAGCCTGAGGGGCCTCGAAAGTGTCTTGGAGAGGAACTCTACATTCTCTGCGACAGTCGCCTCTCCGACCTGCGCTAAGAGAGACTCGCTGGCACCGTAAGACACAAGTTTAATGGCCTGCAGGGTTCCCGCTCTCGCAGCTTCCTGCTACAGTAGCTGGAGGTATTTGCATGAGCACAGCTGCGCTCATCAAGGCCTTCCAATCACCTGCAGTGAGGTGGGCATCAGTGGAAAGTTTGGCCTGCCACGTTGTCTCAATGATAAAACCAAAGCTTCACAAAGCGATCCCGCTGCTGCCTTCAACGTCGCATTGCTTCCTTGAGGAGCAAGTGCTATGAGTACCGCAACGACTAGGCTGCCTGCAGGCTGTCAAGAAACACCACGGGAACCATGTCTTGGCGGAGCAAACATGCCAGCTGCTGCGGAAGGCCCCCTTGGGCCGCATGTGGACAGCATTATCCGGCCTGGCTCCCACATGGTATCATGCGGCCGTGGGCCGGAATCAGCTTCTCAGAACGGCACAGACCCAGCATGGCGTTCTGCACGCCTGCTTGGGCCTTCTGCAAGGGGCTGTTCTGTTAGGCGGAGCTGCTGCGTGCAGAGTGTAGCGAGCACAAGCCTTGGTTTGGGAGCACCCCTTCCGGTCGAAGGGGGGCCTCAAGCTCCAAGGCTCAAAGGACAACCGGCGGCTTCTGAATAACAGAGGAAGGCACGAGCGGTGGGATGCCGGGCGGCAGGGCTTGCGCCCCCCGAGTGGAGAGACACCCCTTGACCCAAAAAGAGAGGATGCGTCACCAGTGTGTGCCAGCCCTGCAGAATGTCTTTTGCAGAGACACGAGCCTTGAACAACATCATTCCGATGCTGTGCATTGCAGAGGATAGGTGTAAGGTTTGAGCTCCATCCTAAACCCAAAACCGCCAACTCCAAAATCTCACGCATTGAGCAGGGGCTGCAAGGGTACACTACTACATTACTGTTCAGCTACGGCCTTTCTGTGAAGACGCGAAAACCGGTGCTTGGTGCCTGCATCAAGCTTCTTTTCCTGCAGCGAATTTGGTGACTGAGCCGTCACGGTGTTCTGAATTCTGTGAATGCCAGCAATGCTAGCCCCAGCACAGCACTCCATCCCAATCTGGATGCCGAACCTGAGCTGAAGTTTCCCTTCATCGTAGACGGATCATCTCAGAAACCTAAAGTGACCTGTCAAAGCTTAGCCCTGTGCCTATGGTGAAGGGGTAGAACAGGTCTTCGGGCAGAAGGACTGGAAGTTGTGGCCGTGGAGGGACCTCGGTCCATTGCGGACAGGTTCAGACGCCCTGATTCTGAGTGTCGCTTTGCCTTGCCTTCAGCAGGAAGTCATCCCTTTCAGCGCGAAGGAAGGAAACCTGACACTCGCGCTTACAGACCGCAGCATCTCAGCGAGGAGGTTTAAGCCAAGTGCGCTGTAGACGAATGGGAACGACTGCCTGTTGCTTTCGGTCCGTCTCTCTCCTCTCAAGAAAGCAAGAAGAAGCCGGGCCTTTCAGAAGGGTCTTCGAGCGTGAAGCTGAGCACCCCGAGCCTGTCGGAACAAGGCTAGTGCAAGGCCGCAAGGCTCGCATGCGGCTGAAAGCTCTCCTGTGCGAGATTCGCGCACCGACAATCTTGGCTTGCGGATTCTGCACATCTCCAAAGTATGAGTAGATGACCTCCAAGGCAGAAAAACTCCATCTCTTCTGAGTTGGTACGTTGGCCTCTCTCTCTCTCTTTCTCTCTGTCCCGGGCATGGCGGTCGGTCAACACCCCCGGGCATTTAGCCCACCCGCAACTGTTTTGCAGGAAGGGGTGTGACAAACGAGCATAAATCATTTTGGTACGTTGGTACCAGGTGGGGAAGGTCAGGGAGCGTCCTGCCCCAACCCTCCTTGCTTGCTTGCAAGGCATTTGGGGTTGAGGGCGAACCCCCTCCCTCTGCGCTCTCGCGCTACGCCACTGTCCTGTGTCGTTTGTCTGTGTGAGACAACCTGAGGTTCGGCACCGACCTGTTACCAACTCGCCCTCTCAGTCCCAAGCTCTCCCCTGCAATCCCACCAGCCTCGTCCCCTTCGTTGGTGCCGAACCTCTCTTTGTGCTAAGTGTGCGCTTGAGCCCCCGGACGTTGCCGGGAGCAGCGGCTGTACGTGTTTGGGGTCCCCTTTCTGTAACGGCAGGCTCGTCTGAAGCAGTAAACAGAAACTAAACCACACTCATAACACGTGACCTTGGTGTTGGGGTCCCCTCTTCTTTGACTGCAAGATCAGCATGCTGGCAAGGACTTTGGGGGTGAAGGAAACACGGGCCCCGGGTTGCGAAAAGGATAGGGTGGTAGAAAAACGGCGTCCCCTTACCACTATACTGCTTTCTTGCCTTTGTCTCTGCAGCATCTGCACTACCTGCCGGCCCTACTTGACGCGGTTTGTGGTTTTAGTGTGCTGTGTTCTTGTTGTCAGCGCGGGTCCCCGTGAGGTCAAGCAGAAGGGTACCAGGGAAAAGACACCTTAGGGCAACATCACACACACCTCTGGGATCCCCGCGCTGGTGTTGGTGTGCTGTGGTCGGGTGCAAAAGCCTCCGGTTTAGGTACCAACAAGGGGGTCCAGGCTCCAAGACTGGGGGCATACCACAAACTGAGGTCGTTGCGTCCCGAAGTGGTGGTGGTGGTGTGCTGGTTGTGTTGGTCCCCTACTGGTATGCATGCAGCTTGTTTGGGGTTACCTGTCTAGCCCCTTGCAAGCAAAACACGCCCTAGTCATCACTCATTGCTGCACGCATACGTCTACGTCTGCGTGACTCCTTGCTCCTTTCTGTGTCTGGGTCCCCGAGGCGTGGCTCATGCCCCAACCCTCTTTCTTTCGCCAGGGCTGTCCTCTCTCTCTTGCTTGCTTGCTTGCTTGCTGGGCGTTTGGGGTGCGAGGTTACCCCCACAACCCCCGCGCGCAAGCGCTACGCCTTCGTCCAGTGTCCCTGTAGTCGGCGTGAAACGTGTGAGGGGAAAAGCACAAGCGGAACAGACTTGTACCCGACTAGGGCCCCTTCTAGCAT